AATTGACCTCCATTTATTATAAAAAAAACATCCAAATCAGGAAAATGTTATAGCCTATATATACACAAAGGTTTGGTGTAACGACTTTTCAGTGATGAAACAGATTAAGAATTAGCCTGAAGAAAATGACTTAAAAAATATTTTCGCCTACCTTTTCATTTTATTTGATTGCCTAAATAAACGTTCTTGAATTTAATACGCGGTGAAAGAGAAACTGACGATTGCATAGGTTAAGTGGAAGAGAATGTTACAGAGTTACAAACAACCAGGAGTTTCCCGCTAATTTATATGCATATCCAATTATGAAGCACATATTTATCAGTCATGTTAATATTTCCTTACGCTCTACAAATATTTAGTGTAGTGTGTCCACATCTCTCAATAATAATCGGTCAAATGTTATAATGTTCTACATAACTAAACTGAAGGGTAGTGAAGTTTTTAAAATGTGTACTTAATATTTCCACAGTTTATGTTCGTACACAAATTAATGCGTAAATTACTGAAAATGGTCTTCCGATTAACGAAAGTATAAAATCGTATTTCTCTCTGTCAATAACGCAAAAATTGCTTCCGTTAGATTTTATAGATCAAAATGTAACGTTGTAGTAGTAGTTTGAGTACTTAAAAAAGTTCACTACTAACAGTGGCTCAGTTGATAAAACACTCGACTGTCATGCGAGAGGTCTCGAGTTCAAATCCCAAGCATAGAAATACATGGTGAAAATACCACAACGTCAAGTTGCACACACATCACGTAGGCATCTTGTAACTCGGGCATGTAATACAGGTACTCACGTATTTTATGGATTTCTACGACCAGCTATTTATAGGTTTATATTGACAAAGCTGTTTTAACAACTGTAGTAACTTTATTTCTGTGCATTCTAATTTTGCATTTGTTCTTAATGAATACGCAAGCTAAACACGACACACACCCTATCATCGTCTAGTCATCAGCTTTTTCTTGTGTTTAATACGTCTTCATTACTTCCTATTAAATGCTAAAGAAAAACTTTTCATACTCAACTAAAGATTCAAGCCCATGACTAAAACCTTTAATTTTGTTAGCATGCACTCTGAATACGTTGTGACTCGATTCAAAAACAAATAATTTCTAAATACAAGGCAACCACACGATTCTACGCATCTTCAATTAAAATATCTAAAAAAAATGTTACGTTTACAGAAAAGTTAAACGTGCATACGAACTATATAAAAAAACAACTTAACGTGCTATCGTAAATGCCCAGTCACTTGCACTTGTCATTATAAATGCCCAGTTACATAGAGTTGCAGGAACTGCGATAACTTTTTTCTTCTGTGGATGAAAAGGATGCATTTCTCGTAATCGCAATTAAACCTAATCCATTAAATTGTATAGTTCAGCAAAATTAAACGTTTAGAATATTCTGAAGATGTATTTCGTTTTACACTACAATACATATTAACCTCAACCACTTCTCGTAAATTTTAGCTAAAAGGTAAAGAAACACCATTTATTAAATTAATGGAATGACGTTGTTTTTGTTTCTTTTTCATTCAGATTTACCAGTATTCATTGTTTCAACTATACAATTATGACGCTAGTAAAGAAAATTATGTTACAAAAAGTTATTACTATAAAGAGTTTCCTTGAACAATCGTAGAAAGCTACATAAGAGCTATATGCACTAGCGTCCTAATTTTGAGCTGATAGAACAGAGGGAAGAAAGCTAGTGAACAGCACTCACCGTCAACTCTTGAGCTTTTCTAACCGTTTTATGTAATTTGACCGTCATTCTTATAACGCACCTAGGACCATGCGGAGAGCAATATTGTGGTAACAAGACGAAAACTCTAAACCCTTCACAATCCGGCACGCTATTGTCAATGAGAGAGTGAGTTCACTGCGTATTTACTTCAATGATTTATACAAAATAGATAATAATACGTCAACAATGACGACCAATCTGTAATCTTAAATATACTAGAACTTATACGTATATGATCTTCATTTACGTTATTAAAAAATTATAAATAAATGTAATTCTACGATGTACTTTTGTACAAATACGCATTTGAGAACTTTATTTAACATCAATGACAATAAAATACATATTTGTAAATAACGACAATTTGTTGAGAAAAAACATGTTATGAACACAAACTTTTTATATAATTTCGTGAACTTTAGTAAATACTATGGGTCAAACAATACACCTATATCTTGTTCAAGTCTTAATACAATTCATTCAGGAAAAATCAGTATCTGTACTACATCACACACCTGCAGGGCAAAATGTTTAGGTAATGCTGCAGCTAATTAAATACAATCGGAGCAAGCCCACTGCTTAAATTAAAATTAAACCCAGTGATGAGGGTATCTAATTAAATAGTGTTCTTACGTTCTTATATAAAGATTAATAAACAATGCTGAGTAGAGCAACACAAAAACAAAAAAACGCCGCCAGTGTGTCGAACTTGTTTGTCACTCTTAACCACTAATAATAATTCAGTGCCTAAAAAAATATTTGTTAAAAAACACGACTTTTCTACTTGTTCATATCGTTCTGAAATGTATGTAGTTAGCTGGACTAAAAGCCTTCCTTGGTTGTTCAAAAAAATGTTATTTTTAATAAACACCGAATACACATAATGTGCATCGAAATAACGTATAGTTCACGAGGTTTGAGGAACAGGTGAATTTAAGGACCTCACATTACTTCTATATTATAGCGTTCAGATTTATGCGCTTACTCAAGAAACAAAACCAGACAGTCGGCACTGTTATAGAAGCTTCGCCGTTAGGAGTCCATATTCTAAAAACACCGGAACACACATTCAATCTTACTATACGAACAAACATTTTATAACTTTTTTCTGTAATAATAAAAATATATAAAAATTTAGCACGACTAGACATTATCTATTAATGCCTAAATTGCAAGTAGGTGATAATTGTCTAACACCCGACATTTGTTTATTCAAGTGTATACTTTTGACCCACCTTTGGCAATATCAGGCCAAAATTATGTAAACAATTTATCAATGCAAATATGTATCCGTATACGAACTGTGAATAACGAAAACTTTGGTACACAATATATGATGGTAAGCCTAGAATTATATCAAGCCTAAAACTGCTTCAGCAAAAGTAAATAGTAGTTGACCTCAGAACTAGAAGAAATAAAAGCCACTGCATAAGAGTCCACAACATTGCCGTCCAACTCTTAATGACCATAAAAAGATAGATCAATTAAGCGAGTTTAAAAATTTGTAATGCGAACTGGAGAGTTCTATTCATTGTTAAAAGGAGAAATAAAACACTACCTATTGCTAGAGAAAACATAATTGATTTCATTTAAACCAACATTTCGCCATTACTGCTTCATCGGGGCAAAAAGACACTTGCTAACTGATTTAGGCTTATATACAAAAGATTTCAAAATAATACGAGTCTGCGCAGTAAGGCGGACTTCGCTGGAGGATATATAAAGAAATTGGACAATATTATGCTATCTAAAGCAGATGTAACCAGGAGTGAAATTCTAAAAGAAAAATAGAGGAACTCAGCTCGATGAAGTGGACCTGTTTTTGAAAAAGAAAAAATATCTACGTGTAAACATAAAAAACAACAAAGCAGCTCAAATAAGTATCAGTTTTTGTTTGTTTTTTACTTCAAATACTACAAACACTTCAGTCTGATTGCTTTATAGTTTGATATCAAAATTACCACGTTTCTGCATTACAGTTATATTCTCTACGACACTATATTTTTACGATTTTTTTGTAATCTATATTATATTTGAAATTGTCGAAGAATTTGCACATTTAAAACACAATTGTGCTTTTCACGTAAAACTGCCATATAAAACTCAAAGACATCAACTACGCTGTCCAGTCTAAAATTTGTGTAAAAGAATAAGAACAAAAATTGAGTTTACTACAGAAAAGTGTGTGAAACATGAAATAACTTCAAACGAAAAATAAAACAAAGAATTACTAATCCATTTCAACGATCCTACTAGATCGGCAATCAGCAACTAATCTACATTTGTGTGTACTACATGATGCATTAGTAACAAGAGTTAGCACACGGTCACAGTTCGAATTTTGGTGTATATTGATGTAATTTTTTTCCAAGTGCTTGTAACATTGGTTTAATTAATATATTTTCTATAAATTACAATTTACAGTGGTAGCGGGGAAACATTTGGATTTCTATTATTTTGTCTGATTCATACAATTTGCAGTAAAATCCACTATGGCTCTGGAATTAACCGTTGTGTCTGGACATTTTAACAAATGTAACCCCTTTATTAGATTCATATCTAGCGTAAGAAGGAAATTCATGCATTAGAAATACTCGATTTATGCTAAGGTTAATATAATACTACACAAAAAACATATTTTGTGTCTTAGAAACTACTAAATTCGACAGGGTAGTTAGGTCTCTTGATATTACAAACAAGTAACAAAAAAGTTCATTATTACAACTATTCCTACCTTCACGTAAAAAACCAAATTATTAAAACTAGTAACGCTCAAACTTTTTAGATGGAAGGTTTTTTTATATAACCTGGCAAAAATGAAATAAATAGACACATTTGTTTACTCGTCACTTTGGTCAAAGTTTTTAGTGGTCGGATATGCAAGCAAGTGCTGATTGTATTGCTTGTAGTTAAGTCGTGTTATTCATTGTAGTAAATAACTGTTTCGGGAATTTTTTTTTTCTCCCCGAATCTTCTCTCTCTCTCACACACACACACACAATCTGAGAAATAACGATCTGAATGAACTTAGTACAACCTAAAATGAGTTCAATTGCTTCTAGACTTTACAATAAAAATTATATTGAATATGAAACAGTATACTTAATTTAATAAATATTTACGGAATTTCAAATACGTTTTTATACAAAACTCCCTAATCTTAACGAGACTGCTTTCAATGTTTTTTTATTTTTAACTTGTAACATTATATATAAACAAACACAAAAGAGATATAGATTGGCCTACATAAAGTGATGCAACCATGAAGTTTCTTCTTCTTCCGCAGGTATCAAAGAGGAGTTTCCATGGCAACGCAGAATATAGTTTTGATTCCAGTTATTGTCCCAAAATTCTTGTTCATTGGTGACATATCGAATGGCGAATTGCAATTGCTGCCCATCGCACATGTGGGGAACAAAAATGTTATAAGAAAATTTGTCCGAAAATCCGTCGCAAGATCCTTGGACGTAGTTAGCAAGAATATCTTCGTACGACATCCAGTCATTAGTAGTGTAACGAGCTAGTACTCTCTTATCAAAAGAAATGTTTAAAACCCTTACGTGACATTGTACGTTCATGTCAGAAACAACAACGTTTTCCAAACAAACCTTTTGCATTCGCACTCTGTCTAGGAAGTTAACTTCGCCTCCAGGCTGAGAAAACAGTGGAATCAGGGAACATGCACACTGAGACGGTGTGTGCGTTACGGAAGTACCAATAAATGTTTCTCGAACGGGAAAGTACGTCCAGCTTGTGCTCTTCTCTTGCTTATCGAAGTTTTGTTCACTGATCTTTAGATCATTAAAAGCAGAAGCAGGTATATTAGGAGCATCATCTGATACAATGTGACGTACAGCCTCTAAGTCAAGACCCAAAGCATCAGCAAAACGAACTATTTTAGGTCTGTGTGGAGTACCAGGTGGTGTTTTACCCGTTTTCAAAGAACTACTACGCTTTAAGCGTCCAGCCATATAATGTATGTCATCCTCTTCATAATCATCGATTACTGACCAATTATAAATTTCCTTCTGCATTTCACAATCTAAGTCTAAGCTCACTTCCTGACTTAAAGATTCTTCTGTGCTACTTTCTACACATGAAGTCTGGCATAAGGTACTCTTTTTCGCTTCATCAACAAATGCAACAGAAATGTTAACTTCTGAATCTGATTTAAGCTCGTGTTTGTCATTATGTTCTTTAAAATCAGTAATTTCATCGTATACTTCTTTGGATATTTTACCTGTTGTATCAGAAGTACTTACACTTATTTCTTCAGTTTCTGTTTCTTCGGAATATCTACAAGATTTGGTGTGCTCTGAATCGTCTAATTCTTCTTCTTCAGCTGTCTCTTCAGGAGAAATTATACCACTGTCCCAAGTGGAGCTAGCTCTTGGACTAACAAAGTTTTCAGGCTTGTTATCAAGTACAAAAACAGCATCCATTGCAATTTGTTGCGATTGTGGCTGAGATACTGAAAACATATTTTCACCTTCTTCATAATCATGTAGATTACAAGGTTCAATATTAATCCCTTTACTGAATTCAAGTTCATCATTTTCGCTGTTACTTTCTGTGCCCCCCATCCCTTCAGAACAGCTTTCCTTATCATCTGTTACATTCCACTTTTGTGCATACATTTGAAGTTTTTCATATAATATTTGCTTTTCGGTTATATCCATACCTTTCCCCGATTCAGTCTCTTGCATTGCTGCTTTAGTAATTTCACTTTTTAAATGCGCAATATCATCAGTTTTCACAATACTACTCGAAGTCTGCGAAATCTTGTTACTCACAAATACGGGTAGAGCTGATAAGCTTTCCTGCGGATCAACCAGTACGTTCTCTTCTGATAGGTTTAACGGCGACGAGTATTCGTGTTCACAATCTTCTTCTTCACTGCCTAACATTGTGTCTTTCATATATTTGGAATTAATTAAAGATGTACCATCATTAGCACCATAAACCTTTTTCTGTGGTTGAGGAGCTTTGTCAATGATTGGTGTTGTACTTTGGCATTTATAACTAGTACTAGGCCTAGATTTGCCGTAAACAGAATTTGTTAAAAAAGCAGTGGGGTTATCATCAATATCATCATCTAGCTCATCAGTTGAATCATTACCTTCTACAAAATCAAATCTTCCTACATCCCACAATTTACAATGTAACTTTCGAGCAAGAGCTTCCGCTGTCACTCGACAACTTGCTAAACTTACGCTACAGGGAATATGCCATGATTCGTTATATTTTTCAGTCATTTTTAAACCATCCGCAGCTTAGTATGTTATTCATCCAATCTCCGTTAGGAATAGAACCAAGCAAACCTACTGTACTGTTACAACGGTTGTTACATAATACGAAACTAACAATTAAACTTAAGCCTTGCGATATGAAAGTAGTAGCAAAATGAGCAAGAAGAAATATTGTGGAAACTCTCTTCTTTTCAGGTTTTCGACGCTGTACGCACGCAAGACTTCACAGCGCTACCTTACCCTCACTCTCATAGTAAATAATAGCCAAAACTAAACGACCGTCAAACAACCTTGACATGCGCCTAGCAATCTTGCTGCAATAGGAAGTGCGAGTTGCCGCTAGACGGCGCCATCAAATCAATCGAGTGTTAAAATATAGACAGTATTACAGTTAGTGATATCATTATCAGCTGATAGCACACATTTAAAGTCGTTTTGAAGTACTAAGACTCAGTATTTATTTAATTTTATCAAAATAATAAGTACCCCAGGAAAAAAAAAATTCTTGAAAATAAGAATGACTCGATCTGTGGTCATATAACCTCATTATTTGGATATATTGTTTCCAATTATTTCGTTTTAATAACTTCAGGCGAGAGGTTGTTTCTGATGTGATACAGTATTTATGCTTGATTTAATAAATACATGTTAAACGACTATAATAAGATGTCACAGAGTTTTTCGTATAAATATACCTGATTTCAGTTTTATTTATATATAAAAAAATAAATTCATATATAAAAAATTACTTAGATCATCCTTTTGCAACTGTACCTGTACATAAATTACCTCAGCACTGTAGTATTATTTAAAATTGTTACAAATGAATTAATTTTCTTTATTTCTTGGTGCAGTACAACTGATTATCATCTGATATAGCTATCATATCTTAACAGTTATTTAACTTATTAAAAGCTACATCATTCAAAAATGCATAGTAAACATTACAAGATTTCGAAAACATCTCAAAATAAACACAAATATATAATTAATCTTATTATCTTGGTATTGGATTAAAAATTGAAAATTTAAAGGAGGATTTTTATGGATCCCAAACTGTATTAAACCTTATTTAAGTTAACTTTTTAATGTGAGTTAAACTTTTTGAGATAAATATCCCAAAAAAGTTATGTTTTTTTATAATATAGAGATTTCTGTGCATGTGTTTTAAAATGTACTTAAGTATGCGGGGGCGTAGCTAAATGTAAATTACGTTAGTAGTAATCCAGGAGGCTTGTTTTGAATTTCGCGG